TTTGTCACAGTCGCAATTTTTCATGTGATACTGTGACTGCTAATTTGTTGAAGTTTCCCATGTGTTCGTTAATTCCAGTCACTGCTACTTTAGGAAACTTGTCACAGCTGTGACCAGTGATTTTTAAGTAGCAGTGACAAAGGCACAGGTACTTAAATATTTGCCATCTCTAAATTGAACAATTACAAGACTTTTTTGATGTTATCGAAAATAAGAAGAATAGCGGTATTGTAACAGCATAGGTACAATGTTACCTAGAGGCAGCGTCGGGCATTAATGAAACTCAGAGAGGATATTTCATTCTGTGAATAATATGTACAGTGCGCTAACTTTGGTTAGCCGCACGTGCTTTTTGTGGTTTAACATAAGAGTTATTGTCAGAAGTAACTGAATTTAGAATATTTCAAAATACTTCTATATTAGGAAAGAGAAAAAAAAATTATACATTTCAAATATATTACAAAAACAAAAAAGTTAAAATATTGAAAATACAACGTAAATATACGCGAACTTTACTTAGCCTTAAAAATAAGCGGTTTCGCAAAAGTTTAGCATTCTAATTAATTACTTGGAAAATTCTGGCTGGGATCGAGTCAATTAACTTTTGCAGTATAGTACCTCTTTCTAGATCCAGCCACGCCTGCAAAATTGCTGTTTTTAGCTCCTGCGCGGCTAAGTACTAACGCCCATTCGCATACACAGCCCTTGCAATTACGCCCCAAACATTTTCAATGGGGTTTAAATCCGGACTTCGCCTGGCCATTCTAGCAACAGTATAGAGCGCGAAGCAAAAAATTCTTTTGCCTTCTTGGAAGGTTGATGTTGGCACTGTCCTGCTGAAAGGTAAACGTAACTTCGACATTATCCTCCAAATACTCAATGAAAACATTATCCAACATCTGCCATATCAGGTGAATACGGGGAGTGGTTAATGGTTAAAACGTGATTTTTGGTCAAATAGTCGGTCACAAGCGTCGATCGACGAGAGCAATTTTTGATTCAATTCGTGCAGAGCAAACCGTGCACACACCTTTCGTAAGGTCAAATGTTCGGTCAAAATGCGATGGAAATCTTCAATTCCATTTAAATGCATTTCAATGATGATTTCGGCTGATTTTTGATGAATTCACGCACGGTTTCGATGGAATTTCCTGTGATCACGAATTTTGATTGGCCCACATATTAATCATCATTTATGCCCTTACGAACACTTTGAAACGAACTCGTGCTACGGGATAGGCAATCGTCGCCATAAACTTGTTGCACCAATTGAAACGTTTCGGTAAAAGTTTTACCAATTTTAAAACAAAATTTAATGTTGGCTCTTTTGTCGAAGCTCATTTTCGCACCGATAACACAAACAGTGACACTTAAAACGCAATAACTTCACTTCCAATCGATAAAATGTCAATGGATAAAGATAACAGATTCTAACGCATCAGTCGGCATATAGATGGCGCCACCTTGTACGAACGATCAATTGATGGCAGAGTCGGTCCTGTGTAAAACACGCTTTAATAAAATCTTGAATCTTGAACACTCATTTATCATGTTCAAAGGAGAACAGTCACGGAAGCAACCCTGTAATTTCTTTACTAATAGCTGAATAGCCACATAAGTATATTTTTAACTCTACATAATAGATACAAGGTAACTTTCTTAGGAAACGAAAATTGTAGGCTTTTACTTACCTCTTCACAGAGCGCAAGCATTCGACGCGTGCTTTCAAGTGACTGAAACGAAAACGAGAGAATTAATTTTTTTTACATTTATTTTTCTTAAAATATACGTAGTTTTGATAAGAAATTCCCTAAAATTCGAACACCTGAAGACGATCCAAAGCAGCTTTTCTATTTCATCTACCAGCTATTTCGTAGCAGCAGCGGCTACATGCTAGGGATAGCATTTTCTCTTCACAAAATTAGAATTTAGTATTGATGTTCGTACATAAAATCAAAATAAGTAAATAAATTTATCACATAATGGTGTTCGGAATGCCATAAGAGTCAATACATTTTTCCCTGTTTTCAGCGTTTTCAAAGAAATGAAGAACAATTAATGAAGAGGTAAGTTCGGGTATAACCGCACATTTCATTCCCTTGCTACTTGCAAGGCTTAAAGCACCATCAGGTTCCTGAGGCATGTTGGCTTTATGGGCTCTCTTAATGTCGATAACAAAACTCACATATTGGCTGATGTCTGCGTAAAAAGATACCCGGAAGTTGGATAATCTTTATATTAAGTATATTAAGGGCTTAGGGAAGTATTGACCCGATTCAACCAACTATCTACTAATATGAAGAAAGGACTCTGACTCAACCAGTTCACCTCTTAGGGCCTTATATCAAATATTATCTGGGTAGTCAAAAAACATTCATTTGAAGTCGAGCTAAAATGAGGGGCGAAACATTCCTTCCCAGGTTTTAAATCCCGATTTTTTATGTGGGAAGGTACCGATACCCAACTGGTTGATGTCCTCGTGAGAGTAAAGGCTAATATCAGCGCCGTTCAAGAAGTAAGATGGACGGGACGAGGATTGTGACGACTTTGTCCTTGTGGCATTTACTACAGTAAAAAGAGCAGAATTTCGGTATAATATTCGTGATTTTAGGAGACTCAGTCGCCGAGTCCTGGCATTAACCTCGGTGATACCGAAGTTCTTCAAAAAGTTTTCTATGAAAGCTTGTAACACATCTATCGTGCTTGTCAACTTTAACGCCAGGGATGGCAAAGAAGGTATCTTTGGTGCAACGTTCGGTAAATCCAACCCGCATGATGAAAAGCCCTAAGTGGGTTGAGGCTGATCGTTTTCGCTGTGGCCTAAAATATGGTTATCTGTACAGGCATGAATAGCAAACTTCATCAAATTACCTGTTTATCTCCGGATCGAAAGACACGAAAGACACGTCTCCAGTGTTTTAGACTAGCATGCCCTCTTTGTACTTTGTCCTGCGGACAGTTTCCCCCCTTAAAAGTTATTAATCTTTTTTATCATAAATGACGCTACGCTACTTTGCAAATACGAAAGTATAAAGTTCCCCCCAAAGTTCTACTCCGGATCTGACCTGCTTTATCGGTATGTCTTTAGGCCTCAAAAATCAACAACCTGCCCATATCTTGAAAAAGACCCGTTAAGAGAAGATCAACACCACCTCTTTGTCGATTTCTAAGCAACTTTTGAGAAATTTGTGTGAATGAAACTAACACGGCTGTATAAACTAATATTGAGTAATACCAAAAGGTGTGTTAGGATTGGAAGGATATTTCAGAGTAGGTTATACCAAACGAGGTTTCAGATAAGACAACTTCCTATCGTGCAACTTCTTCAACCATCTCCTGGGGAAAATAATTCGAGTTGCAGAACTCAATCTTAAAGGTACAATCTTTTGTAAGAATATGTAGCTACTGTTCTACTGCGATAACATCAACATCGTTAGCCATAAGAACCCCGCCGTTTTTTCTGCTTTCTCCAGGTTGGATAAAGGAGCGAAGCAAACGACTGTTGTAATGAGTGAGGTCAATACGAATTATCTCCTGTTGTTAATAAAAATGCGAGAAATTTTTGGCAATTTACTGAAATAACATTTAATACCGAACCTCAAAGTTATTCAATATTAAATAAAATGTTAAATCAAAAGGTTAACTAAAAAATTTAGTCTCAACTGCACCCTCAGAACGTTATCGGCGGTATGATCGTTTTTCGCATTGCCTACTTTATTAAATAGACTAATTACTCCCGGTTTCCCAATTGGACCAAACAAAACGAGCCACGTCAGTTCATACGTAAGCAAGTAGGACTTACGAGGATTACGTGAGTCATACTCCCAGATAGTTCGTAACACTCCCCCCAGGTATATCCTGCTGATCAAGGTGTACCGAATTAATGACATCAAGAACGGCTATTTTAGCGGCAGGTCTCTCAAAGATGCCACAGCCAGTCTTCAGAGTGGCGCTTTTGATCTTTCCGTCATCACTCTTTCGTACTTGGATCACTTTGCCTTTAGGCCAGCAGTCACCGCTTAAGCGATTATAGCCGAGTTAACAACAGCGCGCCAGTCGTTTCTTCTTTTCGCTACGTGGCGCCAATTAGATATTCCAAGTGAAGCCTTCCCCACTTGGTCCTTCCAACGGAGTGGAGATCTTCCTCTTCCTCTGCTTCCCCCGGCGGGTACTGTGTCGAATACTGTCAGAACTGGAGTGTTTTCGATCATCCGGACAACATGACCTAGCCAGCGTAACCGCTGTCTTTTAATTCGCTGAACTATGTCAATGTCGTCGTATATCTCGCACAGCTCATCGCTCCATCGAATGCGATATTCGCCGTGGCCAACGTGCAAAGGACCATAAATCTTTCGCAGAACTTTTCTCTCGAAAACTGGCAACGTCAACTCATCCGTTGTTGTCATCGTCCAAGCCTCTGCACCATATAGCAGGACGGGTATTATGAATGACCTATAGGGTTTGGTTTTTGTTTGCCGAGAAAGGACTTTGCTTCTCAATTGCCTACTTAGTCAGAAGTAGCACCTGTTGGCAAGAGTTATCCTGCGTTGGATTTGCATGCTGACATTGTTGGTGGTGTTTACGCTGGTTCCAAGATAGACGAAATTATCTACAAAAGCTATGACTGTCAGCAGTGACGTGAGTGCCCAGTCGCGAGTGCGACGCCTGTTTGTTTGATGACAGGAGATATTTCCTCCATTTGTGTTGCTTTCTTGTCCAGTCTGGAGAAAGCAGAACTAAAGGCGCGGGTGTTGATGGCGATGATATYAATATCACTGGCATACGCCAGCAGCTGTACACTCTTATAGAAGATGGTACCTTCTCTATTTAGTTCTCCAGAAGCAGGTTGAAGAAGATTTGTCTGAAACCTCGTTTTGTATCGAACGGCTCGGAGAGATACTTCCATTCGGACGGAGCTTTTGGTGTTGCTCAACGTCAATTTCCACAGACGTATTAGTTTTGCGGGGATACCAAATTCAGACATCGCCGCATAAAGGCAGCTTTAATCTTTCACACAATACGCTCGACACGCTATGTTGAGGAGGCTTATACCACGGTAGTTGGCGCAGATTGTGAGGTCTCCGTTTTTGAGGATTGGACATAGCACACTTAAATTCCAATCGTTGGGCATGCTTTCGTCCGACCATATTTTACTAAGAAGCTGATGCATGCTCCTTATCAGTTCTTCGCCGCCGTGTTTGAATTGCTCGGCCGACAAGCCATCGGCCCCCACCGCTTTGTTCTTCTTCGAACTTCTTCCTGGTCGGGCAATGGAACGTGTGGTCTCTCATCCGAGGCTGTTGTTGCTTTTTCTGGGGGTGTTTTTTTACGTGGCGGGTCCCAAACCCAGCGCACAACCCTATACAGGGCATGTTTCGCCTTCTCACTTTAGCTCGCCTTCAAACGGATGTTTTTAGGCTACCCAGAGGATACTTGATCAAGGACCGGAAGTCGTGAGCTGCTTGAGTAATACGTAGTACAATCGTTTCTAGCCACTCCCAAGTGAATGGCGATCAGAGAACTTTCCTCACTTGCGTGAACTTTTAAGCATGACTCTATCCTCCAAAAGTTCTTGTTATATGATTTTTATCTATCAGTTGAAATACTAACTTCAACTCCTTCTCAGCACCTTTTATCACTCCATATTTCTACCGGACTACTTCGACGAGCCATAAAGTTACGTACAGCTGGAATACAGCAGTCTGTCGAGAGCGAGTATGCGATTTCGAGATGCACTTATCTGGTTGTTAAGCAGGTAAACAATACTCCGTATCTCTTCTCGGTATGCTTTTGACCACAACCAGTAGGGGCCAAAGTAATCAACGCCTACGTAGGAGAACGGTCGACTAAATGCTGAGATCTAGAATGCGGGAAGAGAAGCCGCCATAAGTGGCCGAGGTTGAGATGTTCTGTTTTTACAACTGTTTTTAGCCACTGTTTGTAGTTTTATGATCCAATTGAATTGCCTTATCTCATTCACCACTGTTTCCAAATTTCCATGATGATACTTTACATGGAAGTGGTTAATGATAAGGTACGTAACATGACGATTTGAGGGCAATAATACTTTATCTGGTCGCTTTGTTATCTACCATTTATTCTTAAAACGCCGAGCTGATCCAAGTAAGGTGATAGCTTCAGAATATGGCTGGATTTGTCAACTGACTTTCCGGCTTCTAGAGATGCGATAGAGTCTCCGAACTTGTCGTGTTGAGCCTTGCTCCAAAGATAACATTCCCCTTTACGAAAATCCTCAGTAGTTAGTGCCTTACCAACATGTTGATTATCTCGAATAATGCTTAGCCAGACCCGAACGCAGTACATTGTCATAGCTGTTGCACAAAGTAGACGGTTCCAAGTTGAGAATCTCAGTGGTTCTGGTACTACCTGAAACTGCTTGGAGGTTGGGTGATGAAATTCAAGTAAACCATTGACGGAGCTCTTCAGTTTGCAATGCACTGCAATTCGGCAGACATAAGCCACTTGTCAGGTGAGAGGTACAAGAATGATGGCCCTAAACCATCCATTGTCGTTAGAAAAGTCTAGATCACCGTTCCATTTGGTTGCTTCGTCGGAAACGTTTTCCTTAGATGGAACCCAATGCTATTAATTGACATCGGTCAGCTCTAAAATTTCGCCAGCGCCGATGATAGTAGCCACGCTAAAACCGTTCGGAAATGGAAACAGTAAACGCATTTATCAATGTGGATAGAGTGCGATTCGATAACATGTT